AAACGTGCGCATAGTGAAGCTACATTTACGTCCAGAAGCAAAACAAGGGGCCATTTCAGCATTTGCTTAATGGATCAGGGAAACTGGACAAAAACCTTATCGAGATGGTTTCAGCTTCGGGGTCATTGACCCGGAAACTGAAGTAAATAATTTGTTGCAAACATATTAAGTATTTAAAAAAATACGATACAAATGTAAATTAATTCATTATATATCACTGTTTTGTTAAAATAAAAAATATTTTTCCTTTTGATAATCAGCATAGTCTTTAATTGTATAGGAAGAGTTATGCAACAGAAAAGATTTTACTTTTAACATAAATTTGTGAACCGACTTTAATGTCATCTGGCAGTGCGTTAAGTAACGTAAATGTATTGTACGTGGATTTCTGATAGTGAGCTGTTGATACTAACACTTGATGAACGTGATTTTTACGGCGTGTGTTGTAATTATAGATATCAGTATTGCATGAAAATATGTTCCCACCGTTAAGTAAGTTACTTTTGACAAATATTACAGTTACGTAAATTTATAGGCAATGCAGTGGTAAGATTTCAAGCTCAATGAAGAGAGGCTTGCGAGTATAACGCGGATGGCATATTTTTCATTATTCGAATAATTTTATTTTGCAATCTAAAGGTCTGAATACTACATGATGAGTTTCCCCAAAATTTTATATCATATCTCAGGCGGGAATGTACATTTTCAAAATACAAGCAACGAGCTGCATGAAGGCTGACAATTTGATAGAATTCTGATTGCGTAACATAATGAACTTAATTTAGTGTTTAATTTTGTTATATGTACATTCCATTTGAGGTTTGACTGAATTGACAGACCTAGAAATTTTGTTACCTGAACATCACCTAATTGCATATTATTCATTTTCAATGGAGATATTGATCAATTGCTGATCTGAAAGGAAAAAATGTATTGAAACTGTTTTTCCTTCATTAACAATTAATTTGTTATTACAAAACCAATTATAAACTTCTAAAATCGTACTATTCATTGTTTCCTTCTTGCAAAGAACATTCGTGTCATCGGCAAACAGAATCGGTCTTCCGTTTTTAATAGACGACGGCATATCGTTTACGTATAACAGCAAGAAGATAGGACCTAAGATCGAGCTTAGTGTAAAGAATTGGAAAGATAAGTAAATAAAAACCTCCTCGTGGTGGCCCTGGATACTCTGCGTGGTGAGAACCTACAGAGTAAGGAAAAGGGTGGGACGAAAGGCGAGTTTCCGGCGCCTTCAAACGGGAACCATGAGCTAAGGGAAGGAAATCCTGACAGAAAACCAAGGGGGGAAGGGGGCCTCCGTAGGTGTGGTGAAACCATAGAGTAGAGATAGAGTTGTATCTCTCCTCTATGGGTGAAACCAACCTTCCTAAGGGATGACAACCCTGAAAAAAAAATTACCTCCAGGATTAAGCATGGGGGTTGAACGCAGGGCTAACATCCCGGCTCTATAAAAAAACTTCAGTTCAAAGCGATTTAAATATGCCTCGGACCGGACCAAAATTAAATTTACGACAAAGTCTACGAAAACGGACAATGAAAATTGGAACATGGTATATACAAGGCCTACGAACAAAGCAGATGGAGGTCATCTCAGAAATTGAAAAAATGAACCTGGACATAGTAATACTTACGGAAACGAAGAAAAAAGGGACAGGGGAAGAAATTTTGAATAAATATCTTCATATTTTGAGTGGTGTACCCAAAGATTTTAGAGCTAGAAGTGGAGTCTCTTTCCTTATTAAACGTAAATGGACAAATTCATTAAACAGATAGGAAATATTAATGAAAGGACACTAAGAATAGACATGAACGTTTTTCGCCATAAGATAACAATATTAGGGGTATATGCCGTAAATGATAATGCACTTATAGATGAAAAGAATAAGTTCTTTCAAGACCTCAGCGAAACTATAGCGAATATTCCGTATCAAAATGAAATACTATTAATTGGGGATTTTAATAGCAGAGTAGGTAATAGAGGACGTGAAGTAGTAGGTCAATACGAAGAGGAAAATATTAATGACAATGGAAAAAGATTAATCAACCTATGTAAGGAACATGCACTATGTGTAG